CACACACACACACACACGCACGCACGCCCGCACGCACGCACACAACACACACACACACACACACACGCACGCACACACACTCCCACACACAAACTCAAGCACAACCTCGGTGCCCGTGAGTCCATCAAGCAGGCGGCAATAACGCCTCGCAACACACCACGCTGTTGCCGAAAAGCAAGCCGCACCTCGAACCCCACCCAAGCGCAGCCCCGCCCCGGAACCCCCACCTGCTCCCCGCCGCAGCCGCGCCACTGGACGGCAGCAGGGAGTCGTGGGAGGCGCCGGCCCCCAGCAGCCTGCGTGCCTGGAAGCTGCCCGAGAAGCCGGTCGGCAGCGGCAGCATCATCCGCCACCACGAGTCGCCGCGTCACGTGGAGGAGGGGCCCGCGCAGGTCAGCCGCGGGAACGCGCCTTCCGCGCACCGCACGCGGCAGGGGGCCGCCGCGTTTGATAAACCCCTGCGGCACCGATTATACCCAAACGGTCGCGCACGGGCGTGCCCCCCTGGGACCGCCCAAGGGCGCAGCGCTGCATTGCGCGGCCATGAGCAGGTTTTGCCAAATCAGGGAAGTGCTAACAGGCCGCTGCGCGCGAGGCATGGACGCCAAGGCTGGGAATCCCTACCGGCAGCTGCACGTTTTACTCCTCCTATTAAGCTCTTACCTGAGAGAAAGCACGCGCGTATTGCCAACCTACGAACTCCCTGCTTCCATGCCCAACCCCGTCCCGCCCTACCCAGCTGGACGCCGGCCGCGCCCCCAGCCCCAACGTGGCGGCGCCCTGCCCCAAGTCGTCGCGCGACGCCTTCTCCGCCGCCTCTGATGGCTACAACCTCAACAAGGCGCGCGCCATCTACGGCTCCAGCTTCCGCTTCGGCTAGCCTGCTAGACAAGACGACGCGCGAGGCGGGCGCTGCGCGGCGCGCAGCGATGCGGCACTCCTCTCGCACGCGCGGGCACGTGGCGGCCAAGAAGCTCGTTGCACGGGGTTGCATGAATGGTTGGGATTGCCGCTCAACGAAACCGATCACGACGAACAAGCGAGCCGCTCCACGGCCGGGGCACGGCCTGGGAAACACATCGGATTTACCGCGTCAGCACGTCGCCGCGGCATTCGGCCTCGCCAGCAAGGGCGCCCCGGCGCCTGGGCTGTGCGGGCTCTCGACGGGATGACTATGACTGCTGCCGACGCGACAGGCGGGCGCTGCACCAAAAGTGACCTTGAGACGCATGCGCTTGGTCATGTCAACATCCGCGGGCTGTGAGGCGGCATCTGGGATTTCAGAGGGCCCTTGCCCGCGTACGCGCTTCGATTTGAACCCCGCATGCGCACCGCTGCATTGCGCCGAGAAAGTTTGGATCCGGCCTGCACATCTCCTATAATGCTCGGAAATTGAACGAGCCTCATTCAAACCCATCACTTCTCTTACTCGCCCCTGCATTCCTGCATATAAATTGCGGCCCACGCCCACCGTCTGACTGGGCGCACCGCACGCATTGTTGCCCTGCATTCCAGGCACCCTGCCTTCCCCGCAGCTGCCCTTGCACATACATCTCTGTGATGCATGTGGTTAATTGTACACCATCATCCGGCTTTCTGCTACATCCCTATTGCACAGCAGCCAGCTCATAAAGTATCATGATCCCTTTTGAAACCTTACGCCTTGTGCATATTAGCCGGGACTGCACCAAACCCCCTGCCTGCCTGCAGCCGCCCTCGGGCGTCTTTTGATGTAAGAACTCGGCAGCCTGCTTGCCCCCCCTGTATGCCTGGCAACTTTGAGGGCAGCACGTGCATCATTTGGCAGCTCTGGCCAGACCTTGATTTGATTCAAATGCGTCCGCTGGTTTGGATCAGCGCAAAATACAGATTGTGGTTCCCTAGGGAGGCAAGGGCTTGGATCATGATAAGGCTCATTCACACAACCTTGGACTTGATGAACAATGGCTGTCAATCAAAAACACAATTGTGAAGGGAAGCCCGCAATTTCAAAGAATACAAGCTGCTTGGGGACGCGCCAACGGGAGTCTAGGCACGAGAGGGATGTCGCCATCGTGCCAGCAGACCGCCTCTATATGCGCGGCAGCAGCAGCCGCGGGTGGCTCGCCAGCCGCGCCATGACCTCCCCGGCCAGGGCCTCGGCCTTCCAGTCCGCTATGCTGTCAGCGCGCGTATCCCCGACACATACAATTGCCAGCTTCGCGCCGGCTTCCTTCGCCGCCTTGGCCAGGCGGAAGGCGCTCCACACCATGAGGCTGGTGCCGGCCGCCAGCAGCAGGTCGCAGCTTCCCGCCAGCTCCCGAGACAGCTCAGCGCGGTCGGGCCGCACCGAGTCGCCAAAGAACGTCACTGCGTTGGGGGCGGGCGGCCAGGGCGGGTGTGGCGGCAAGGGCGGCGCGCTTGAGACCAAGGCATGATGTGCAAAGGTGCACACACGAGTCGGTGCGTCTCATTCAACGCGGCTCGTGAAAACTTTGAACTTTGCAGCATGTGCACGGCACGCTGCACATGGCGGCACCAGCGCGCACGCACACGGTTTGTGCGTGTGTGTTCATGTGTGTGTGTGTGTGTGTGTATTGGGCGTGTGTGCGTACGTGCGTGCATGTGTGTGCGTGTGTGTGCGTGTGTGTGTGTGTGTGTGTGTGTGTGTGTGTGTTGAAAGGCGCACCTTCAGGTTTGAGGATGCCGTTGCCGCACTCGGAGCACGGGGGCACGACAAAGCCACGGCCTTTGAGACGGGGTCAAGGGCAGCAGGGGGTCGGTTGCGCCACGGGACGCGTCGGCAGGGGGGGGCCGAGGGCGACGGCGGGCTGACAACCAAACTATCCCTGACCCCACAAGCGTGGCCCGCCCCGCTGCAGCGGACGAGGATCAACTTGCAGCAAGGGAAGCGGCACTCTGCCCGTGGTTGCATCCTTGGCATGCTGCGCTGGCCCCCACGCCCTGCCCTCCCCGCTCGCACCCCAGCCACCCGCTTCCCCGTCACATGCCGATGGAAAAGGGTGTTGTGAGCGCTAGGGAATCAACGCCCCTCCACGGCCCTCACCCGCGTCAACCAACTCAACGTCGCCGTCCGGCCGCCGCACCGGCACCCGCTCCGCCCCCTCCGCGCCCGCCGCCGTCGCCCGCGCGTCCGCCGCCGTCCCCGCCCGCAGCGCGCGCCGCCACCGCCCCGGCTCGCCGCTCGCGGCCAGCGTCGACGCCAGAAGCGCGGCAGCTTCTGGGTTGAGGCGCGCCAGCTGCTCCTGCAGCTCGTGGCGGCAGCCCTCGGCGCCGCATGTCATGCAGACAAAGCGGTGCGTGGTGCCGTGGAGCTCGAGCACGCGGCCTGCGGGGCTGCCGGCCTTGTGGTGCAGCCTGTCGACGTTCTGGGTGATGAGGTGGCCGACCCAGCCGTTGGCCTGCAGCCGCGCGAGGCCTTCGTGAGCTGCGCGGGCCAGGGGGGGCGGGCGGGGC